TTCAAGCTCACCAACTGCTCCTTGGAAACCTTGTACAGAGTTGCTGAGTTGGAACTGACTCTATGACATTTAACAACAGTCCTACGGATAGTGGGACTGTAAAATGGTGCAACCATTGTAGAAAATGATATGACACTCTCTCAGAAGGTTGAAAATAGAATACCAAATGACCTAGTAATCTCTCTATTTGGTATATATCTTCAAGAAATAAGAGTCTTACCCCCTTCCAAGACTGAGACTCAATGGGAATACACGAGCAGACACGTGCTCTGACCGGTGACTATGTTGGTCACCGATAAGGGGAAATGAGGGAAAAACAGCAATGAAGCGGCGAGCTAAGCCCTACAATGTTCATTAGACTTCTGTGAATCCAGGTCAAGACCTGGTTGGCCAGCAGTGTGGCAAGACCCGGGGACTCCTAGGCCCAGAGTCAATGACATGGCCACAGAGGACTAGAGTGGAGAGTGAAGCGTCCAGCTGATAAAAGGAGAGGTCATATGCACAAGAGCACCCACATTTACAGATAATATCCACTTGACCTGGCTTCAATGACTGGATGATCAGAGCTCAACTACAAGAAGAAAGAAGAGGAATCTGATACAATTTGATGAACTTGACCTACACCTATGGATGCATTTGCTCAAAACAGGGAACAAATCTTTACAGCGAGGATCATTCCCACCCCCTCAATACACAGGGTAGACAGGGATGGGCAACTTGGACATTGACTACCCAAAATGGGGGGGAGGGGCACAAAGGCAAGAAGTGATTGGCTTACAAGCTTCAAGAGGGAGCCTAGATCCAGAAGGCTTGGAGGAGGGTAGACTCTCAACTTAGTAATAGCCAATCAATCTGGGCGGGGCTGATGATTGGAGATGTGGATAGCACTCATGTGGTACAATAGTGAATAATTACTATCAGGACTGACTGTGATGGTTGGCAATGTAAAGGTGGACATTTTGTAGTAAAATGAGGGGAGTGGTTGAGTTTACAGTCCAGGAGCGGAGGTCCTTGGGAACATCAAGGAAGAAGAGTGGAGTGCAGGACCCTACCTAGAGAGACAATGACGCCAGAGATGGAGGCAGAGATGATGACGTGGAGAGATGGAGTGGCTGGGGACTTTAGACACAGAGAGGGAGAGGGGTTGTGTGCTGACGACCAGGGGACAGGCTTGCATGGTGTAACATTTGGTTGCTTGATGATGCATGGAGGGGATTGTAATGTAACGCATGGAGGGCAATGTAATGATATACAATAGGATGAATGTGAAGTTAATGTTCTCCCATGTAAACTATCACATAATTCACAATAAAGCATTAAGAAAGAAAGAAAGAAGAGTCTTGACACAAATAGAGATTTGCACATCCATGTTCATTGCAGCATTATTCATAATAGCAAAAAGATGGAAACAGTCTCAATGCCCAACAGCAGAGGAATGGTTGAACAAGCTGGGGTATGTACGCATAATGAAATATTATGCAACATTGAAGAATAACGATGAATCTGCAAAACATCACAAAATGGAGGAAACTAGAGGGCATTGTTTTTTTTTTTTTAAGTGCCATGGAGTTGGTTCTGGCTCATAGTGACCCTGTCTAGGGTTTCCAAGGAGCAGCGGGTGGGTTTAAGCCACTGATCTGTGGTTAGCAGTCCAGTGCTATCCTACAGTGCCACACCAGGGCCTTGGCCTATTGTTGTTGTTGTGAAGTGCCGTCGAGTCGGTTCCGACCCATAGCGACGCTGTATAGGGTTACTGAGGAGCAGTTGGTGAGCTTGAACCACCGAACTTGCAGTTCAAACGGCTTTGCTGTCTGGCGCATTAACCCATAGTTACACCAGGGCCTTGGCCTATAGGAACTCCGTTTAGGGCTGGAAATGATGCTACCTCATCCCGCTGCCAATCACCATGTGAGCTTCTTGATTAACAGGAGCACCCCCAGAGTTTTCTTCTGAGTCCACTTGCACTGTTTTTTTCTCTTTTTGTTGTTTTTCTTTGTTTCCTTCTTCTTCCTTTCCTTTTTATCATTAACAGGAGCACCCTCAGAGTTTTCTTCTGAGTCCACTTGCACTATTTTTTTCTCTTTTTGTTGTATTTCTTTGTTTGCTTCTCTCCCTTTCCTTTTTATCATTTCTACCTCTAGAGTCCTGGTGTAGCTCAAAGCTGTTTGAGCTGCAAGGTCAGCGGTTCAAGCTCACCAGCTGCTCCCCAGAAACCCTATACAGGGTCGCTATGGGTTGGAACCGACTCGACGGCACTTCACAACAAGCTTTATTTCATTTTTCCTCTTTTCTTGCTTCTCTTTTCCCACCTCTTCCTCTTCTGCTTTTTTTCTCTTGATCTTTCTTTGTTACTCTCTAGTCTCTTTGTCTTTTCATCTCTCTCCCTGGTTTTGTCTAGTGGTTTCTTGTTTTTTTCCCCTATTTTTCTATAACTCTATTTTACTCTTCTTAGATATTATATTATTTTGTTGTTGCTGCCTGTTTTTTTAATTTAAAATTTCTCCTTTATATTTTCTTTTTTCACTACTGTTGGTGTGGATGATTTGCTTGTGTGTGTTTGTGTCTGTTCTCTTTCTGCCCCACCCAAAAGGAGACAGAATTTGTGCCCACGCAGTCCAGACAGACACAACCGTACCCACTGTAGCTCTTCTATGAATTGTTCACTGGGTAGAGTGTAGAAACATGTTAACTCGGGTGCAGGGAAGGCAGTTAAAAAGCGAAAGGAGGAGAAAATAAAAGAAAAACAGGAAGTTTTTTTTGGGGGTGTATGTATATATGTACTTAACAACAACAACAATGTATAGATGCATATATATACATATAGTTATATATATATACTGGAGGGAAGTAAATATATGCTTATTTTCTCACTAGGACAAATGAGAACAAATTTTAAAAGGGAAAATAAAGAAGGGTAAAAGAGAGAGAAAGAGAAAGATTTGGAAATGGATAATGGTGATGGCTGTGCAATATGAGGAATCAAAAAACCCCTATTATCCAAAGGCTACTGAGATTACAACAATCCCTAGTGGTACAGTGAGTTAAGCATAACATATCTTCAGCCAAAACAAGGCCAGAGGCTAACTGTGGAACAGACCGTCAATTATTCATATGCAAGTTCAGGTTGAAGCAGAAGAAAATCAAAGCAAATCTATGAGAGTCAAAATACTACATTGAGTATATCCCACCTAAATTTAGAGACCACCTCAAGAACAGATTTGACACAATGAATACTGATGAACAAAAATCAGAGGAGTTGTAGGATGACATTAAGAATATCATTCATGAAGAAAGCAAAAGGTCATTAAAAAGACAGGAAAGAAAGAAAAAAACAAAGTGGTTGTCAGAAGAGACTCTGAAACTTGCTCTTGAATATAGAGTACCTAAAGCAAATGAAAGAAATAATGAAGAAAAGAGTTAAACAGAAAATTTCAAAGGGCAGTTTCAGGACACAAAGTAAAGTACTATAATGAAATGTGCGAAGACCTGGAGTCAGAGAACCAAAAGGAAAGAATGTGCTCAGGATCTTGCAAGCTGAAAGAACTGAAGAAAAAAAATTCAAGCTTCCACGTGCAAAATATTGAACAACGTAAGAAGCATGAAAAGAAGATGAAAGCAGTACTTAGTCACTGTGCCATAAAGAATTGGTTGATGTGTAGTCATTTCAGGAAGTAGCATATGATCAAGAACTGATAATACTGAAGGAAGAAGTCCAAGCTGCACTGAAGGCATTAGGAAAAAACAAAGCTCCCGGAATTGACAGAATACTAATTGAAATGTATCAACAAACTGATGCAGCACTGGAAACACTCACTTGTCTATGCCAAGAAATTTGGAAGACAGTTACCTGGCCAACTGACAGAAAGAGATCCATATTTGTGACTATTCCAAAGAAAGGTAACCCAAAAGAATAAGAAAATCATTGAACAATATCATTTAATATCAAATGCAAGCAAAATTTTGATGAAGATGATTCAAAAGTGTTTTCTGCAATGTATCAACAGGGAACTGCCATAGATTCAAACTGGACTAAAAAAGAACATGGAACTAGGAATATTATTTCTGAAGGTCAGCTGGATCTTGGCTGAAAGCAGAGAATATCAGAAAGCTGTTTACTTGTGTTTTATTGACTATGCAAAAACATTTGATTGTGTAGATCATAAAAAATTATAGATAATAATTCTAGAACAATTCCAGAACACTTGATTGTGCTCATGAGAAACATGTACATAAAACCGGGGGCAGTTGTTTGAACAGAGCAAGGGGGATATTGTGTGGTTTAAAATCAATAAAAGCTCAAAGAAAACAAGTTCTTCTGACTTTAATGCTACAACATAATTTAGTGCCTAAATCCTTTAAGGGACTCCTGGTGTGGTGCTGTAGGATAAGCACTGGACTGTGAACCACAAGATCAGCAGTTCAAACTCATCAGCCACTCTTCGGAAACCTTATGCAGTGTCGCTGTGAGTTGGAATCGACTTGACGCCATTTAACAAAAAAGCCTTTAAGAACTAAACTAAATAATCGTTGGTTATTTCCCCTTGAGTCCTTTGACACTTTCTAGAAATCATTTATTTCAAGTGTCTAGGTATGAATGTGAGACTATCTTTAATATCATTCCTTGCTATTTAGACATGAATAGATATATATATTTTTCAGCTTCATAGAGTCTCCAGATCTGGGGTTTGTGAACAACTCAATGTATTTTAGATCACAAACATTGGCCAGCAATGTAAGAAGAACCAGGCAGACAGAGGGAAGAAACACCTTTGTTTTTCTTTCACTTGAAATATCTCCCAGTTTCTGCTGCTCTTCCCACATCACTGGGCGGAGGAGAAAGATGGCTCCTTTGGGCTGTGTGAGAGAAATGATGAGACAGAACATTCTTCTTGGTCACTTCACTTAACCTTTCAACTTCTGCCCTGTGCCTGTTCTCCTTCTCCAACCCTTCATCCATGAATCTTTTCCTTCTTTGAACTTCAGCTAGGGCCCAGACTCACCTCGAGCTGGCTCATCAGTGGGAAATGAGCCAATGCTCCCTGGAAAGTAGAAGAGAGAGTCAGAGTCTGGGGTTGTGGCAGAAGGTACAGGGGAATGAAGGAGGTTGGGGAAAGAAGGACTTCCAAAGGAGGGCTGAAATGTGAGTGGCCAGAGAGCAACTGAGGACATTCCTAAAAATCTCCATTTAGGAGAAAAGAAAGGAAGTTGAATAGAAGGGCAAAGTATGGGCAGGATTTGGATTCACCAGTCTCATTTCTGGTCCTCTGACTCCAAGCCACGCTGATAGGCCTCTTCAGGGCCGTGTGTTCCACTAAGCATGTGTATCTCAGCTCCTCTTCAGGGAGGATTCCCACAACTGCCCAGCTCTGGTAGGTCTTGTTGCCCCCAGGTCGGGTCCCCTTGAGTCCTGAATCCAGGGTCAGCTCCTTCCCATCTTGCAGCCAGGTCAGTGTGATATTGGCAGGTGAAAAGCCAAATGCTCTGCATCGCAGGGTGCGGCTGCCCTCAGGATCTTCCTGTTGGGTCACCACAACCCTGGGGGCCACTGGATCCAAGAAAGACACAGACACAGGGTCGGGGTGGGACCCCATGTCAGCTTCTTTCCTTCCAGCCTCCTCCACATACCAGCATGTTCCCTATCTTTCAATCCTTGGGTCATCAGGAAACCCCAGGCAGTAGTAATGTAGCAGGATATAGAAAAGCAAGTCTCTGCAACTACCTGCAGAAAGGCTTAGCAGCTTAGCGACCGTCCATGCACCTCCATTCCCGCCTGGCATCTTCAGTGCTAATCACAGTGCAGAGCCCCGGGCACTGGGTGATCCCTAAAAGTTCTTCCCCTAGTTACCAACACTGCCCAGCTCCTCATCTTCTTCAACACATTATTCAAATGTCACCTACTTGATCCCCCTACTACAAACTGCCAGCTGTTCCCCTAAACTTCCCTTTTTCATTCTATTTCCCACTCCACTATACATATTATGAAAAACACTGGTGGTGCTGAGGGTTAGATATTGGGCTGCTAACTGCAAGGCTGGAGGTTCAAACCCACCAGCATCTGGAGAAAGAGGAGAGTGTCTGTTCTGGAAAAGATTTATAGTTTCGGAAACCTTATATAGGGTTGCTATGAGTCAAAAATGGCAATGGGTTTCTGTACTGTGTTAAAAGGGAGTCACTGATGGCACAGTGAGTAAAAGCGCTTTGCTGCTAACTAACCGACCTTTGAAACCCACCATCAGCAGAAAGATGCAATAATAGTCGGCTTCTGAAAAGATTTACCGTCTCAGAAGGCAGTTCTTCTCTGTAATATATGGTTGTTATGAGTCGGAATTGGCTAAATTAGGCAATAAGCTTTGTTGGTTATATCTTGTAATGCTTTCTAATGGACCATATTATCAACTGAATCCAGAGACCTAAACTCTTTTAGCTCTGGATCTGGGACTGGAAAGGGCTGGGGGTGGGAGAACTTGCCCACTGTGTGATTCAGGAATGATGCTTTGTAGGTTCCTTACCAACTGGTGCTGGGCCCCCAAGTCCCGCAGCCAGTAGGCTCCGCAACGCCGCGACGCACTCGTGGTCCAACCAGGCGCGCACTGCTGATAGGCGGCGCCCGACCACTAGCTGCCTCCGCCGTCTCTCGGGCTCGGGGAGTGTCGCGCCCCAGGCCCAGGTCGCTGGATCATAAGCGGTGAAGTCCTCCCCGTCGTAGCTGTAGCGCCAGAACCTACCGCTGTTGCTTAGCTCACAGCCGTGGCTCAACTGCAGGGTATGGGGCCCTAGGGAGAGCGCCCCTGGCCCGCGATCCCCAAACCCCTAGGTTAGTTGTCAGGAAAGAAATGAGATGTGAGGTCAAGCAACAGAAGCCCTAAGTGCAGGGTTGGGGCAGCAGGGAGTGGGAACGAAGTCTTGGAGGCCCGGGTTGTCAAAGATAGAAAGAGGCAGGGTTTCTGGGTCCTAGGAGCTTCGGTGAGCAGTGGTTACGAGTCGGGCTCCTAATCTCACGGTCAGTAGTTAGAAACTACCAGCGGTTCCTCAGGACAAAGATGAGGCTTTCGGCTCCCGTAAAGATATACAAGCTCGGAAACTCTATGCAGGGTAGCTATGAGTCGGAACCGACTCCACCGCACACCACTACCACCATCACCAGGCTCTCAGAGGGTGCGGGGCGGCTCGCAGGGCCCAGGAGATTGAAAGGAGGAACGTGGGAATTGAGGACGGGAAACAACCTGCCCTTGGGATCCAGGAGGATGAGGGTCGGATGCCTGAGTCAAGACTCACCGATGAGCTCATTGTAGCCCATGATGGTCTTCAGACCCCAAGCTACTTCCTGCGCTCGACCTTCCAGGAACGCGGTCTCCTTGGCTGCCAGCAGCGGGAGCAGTTCCCCACCCCTGGACTTGGCGCTGCGGCTCTCGCTGTCGTAGGCGACGAAGAGTTGGCCGTCCAGGTAGCCGAGGGCTGTAACTGCAGGCTGCCCAAGGCTGGACTCGGTCACAGCAGTGAAATCGTACCTCAAGGAGTGCGACACTGAAATATCCAGGGCCATTTTCTTAACACCGGACGTTAGCTATTGTTTCCTGGTACCCAGGAAAGCCCCTGTTTCTGTCCCTAAACACTTAAAACACACTGAACTTCTAACCAGACCCATCCCAGTTCTTTTGCCTCCCAGGTTCCTTCGACTTCCCTCTTCCCCTCCCTCCTTTCCCCTTGTATCCCATTTCTCTTCTTTTAACTTCTCTGGAGTTCCCCTCCTTCCTGTACTTGTTGCTCCAGATTTTTCTGCCACCCAGGTCCTAGGGTTGGAGACTCACAGGGCTGATTCCTGGGATGAGGGGCCTCCACCCCCAAAAGCAGCAGCAGGAGCAAGGGATAGGATCCAACAGTACAAGACCCCATCAGGCCAGGCTGAGGGACAAGGTCTGGGGTGCTAAATGTTTGGGGGCAGGTCAACCCTAGACCTGAACCCCATCTGTTACAATCTGGAAGTCTCTTTTTGCCCTGAGGCCAATGTCCAGAGTCACTCACTCAGTTGTGGAGGAAATGTCAACATCAGTGTGGATTTTGGAAAGCTGACCAGGACCTGAATCTGACCTGTGACCAGTGAGTCCTTTTATGTGTAGTTGCTGGGAGCATAGGGAGAGGGGATATTTTTCCTGAAGTGGGTAAAGGGGAGCTCAGAACATCTAACTTCAGCCCTGTGGCCTAGGCAGAAGCCCGCTGCTCTGTTAATTCTGTCTGAGCCGCACAGGAGGATTTGGGACTGTGGTCTGAGTGGGGTAGCTGTGGCTGACCAGGAAGCTAGATATCCTTGGGAGGATGAAGATGACTTCTGGGCAGCCCAGGGTTAGCCTTTCTGGTTCTGAAAAAAATTGAGAACAATAGCAGGATGACAAAGTCTGACTCTCACATTCTTACTACAAATATGGTTCACATAGAATGCATTCAGAATGAGAAAGTTCAAGGTTAAATTAACTCTGATTTGGGCACACTCAACTTTGATATGTTAACAAAAATTTAACTCTGGCATTTACAGAAAGTTGAACTATTATAGCAAGTTCCAAAAGAATTATTATTGCATTTCTGATGAAATTGCAAATTTATATCACTGGCTGTGTTTTTGAAATGAAATAGATTGAGAAATTCTGGAAATTCCCAAGTCCCATTTCATACCAGCAACTTGAACCTAGAGAACAAAAATCAAAGAACATGCAAGAGGAATCTGGAAAATTGTGCCTTCAAATCCAGAAGGGCATAAAGTCTGGGCACTGTTTCCATTCTGTTTGCTTTCAGCAAGTTAACCATGTCCTCCCTTGGAGACCTCAGTTCCACACAACTTTTCACTGCTCCAAATCAGAAGCATTTGATTTCCCTATTCTAAGTTTTCACAGATTTCTTTCCTTTTTTGCTGCTGTGCTAACAATAATACAATTTAAAGGGAAGAGCCTCTAAAAGGAGGTTGTTGTTGTTAAGTGCCGTCGAGTCGGTTCCGATCCATAGCGACCCTGTACAGGGTTTCTGAGGCTGTAAATCTTTATGGGAGCAGAAAGCCTCATCTTTCTCCTGCGGAGTGGCTGGTAGTTTCAAACTGCTAACCTTAAGGTTCTCAGCCCGATTCAAGGATCTGGTGTAAATGAAAAAAACTAGAGGGGAATTTTTAAATACCTGACCTTTGTCATACCTCCTCTATATACATACATCCACCAGAAGAGGGTGGAAGTCTTACAGTTTCAAGGTGTTTGAGCACAACCTCTGATGAAACATTGGTTGAAAACTAAGCTCTGGAGAAACAGGGGTCACCTCTTGGAAGCCAGGCTTAACGGTAAAAACAAGAACAACATAAAAAACAAACAGACTGAGTGACCACAGACTGTGGGGAAACATGGTCCACATTTTTACTGCATGCAAATTAGCAAACAAACAAAAAAGGCAACACCTGGATTCCTGGTGTGGCGCTGTGGGTTAATGTGCCAGACTACAAATCTGTTTGAACTGCAAGGTCAGCGGTTCAAGCTTACCAGTTGCTCCTCAGAAACCCTATACAAGGTTACTATGGGTCAGAACCGACTTGACAGCACTCAACAACAACAACGTAGCCTTTGGCGGGAGGATTAGAATACAGAGTTTCATTATGTAAATATATCATGTAAAAGGTTTAATTTTTAACAAAGCAGATTATAAAACATACAAAACAAACCAGGAAACTATGATTCATAATCAGGGGGAAAAAAAATCATTCATTGAAAGTATCGTTGAATGGGCCAAAGTGTTGTCCTTATCAAAGACTTCAAAGCAGATATTAAAAATATGTTCATCACCACTACAAGAATAAGTAAGTTGTTCACCGAGAAGCCATCAAGGCAAGCAATCAAGTCCTTTCAGGACAACACCCCCCTCCAAGACTGAAACTCAAAGGGAACACATGATTGGGCATGTAAGCTTGCTGGTGACCACATTGGTCTACTGGTGAGTGGAAGAGGGGGAAAGGCAGCAATGTAGAAATGGGCTGTGTTCAACCACGTTCCATAGACTCCCGTTGACCTGGAGATGAGAGAGAGAAGTGTGATGAGACCTGGGGACTTCTGAGCCCATGGACAAGGGCATAGCTATGGAGGGTTAGAGCTGAGAGTGAAGCATCCATCAGATATGAAGGGAGGGGAGACATACAAGAACACCCAGACTTGCAGATAGTACCTATTTGACCTAGCCTTAATGGCTTGATGATCAGAACTCTACTAGAGGAAGATAAAAAAAAAAATCAAGTTTTGATAAAGGGAATGAAGGTAAATTGCTACAATTTGATGAACTTGACCTATACTCATGGATGTAGTAGCTCAAAATACCAACTGAGAGGGAAGGAGTCTTCACATCAAGTATCAATGCTATCCCCTCTGTATACAGGGTAGCTAGGGATGGGCAACTTAGACACTGGCTACCTAAGATGAGGGGATGAAAAAGGCACAAAGTTACTAGCTTAAAAGTTTTCAAGAGGGAGTTTAGTTTAAGAGTGTGTGTGGGAAGATAGAGTCCCCAGTGAATAGTTTTCATCTTGTCTAGATGGGTCTGGTGAAAAGAGATGGGGATAAGATTCTTATGATTCAATAGTGAATAATTGTTATCATGACTAATTGCAACTGTCATAACTGTAAAGGTAGAAGTTTTGTAACAAAAACGAGGGAGTATGGAAAAACAAGGTGGATGGGAAAACAATTAGGCAGGTTTGCATGGGCTAAGTGAGATTGAGGTAAATAATGATGTATGCACAACCTCGGAACAATAGGGCTCTGGGATACAAGGATTGAGATATGATTGGAATGGGCAAAAGGGGGGAAACAATGTTAAGATGCTTGGCTGTCTTTTGAATCTTGGTTTCCCTTGCATACCGTTATAAAATAGACACTTGAAGGGGAGAGAAAGGAATAGCCAGAAATATCACCATAGAAAGCTTGTAAGTCTGTCTTCTACCTAAACTGATTGGAATACCTAAAATGGGCCTACAACATGCCCAGTGAAGGAGACTTCTGGTGGAGCCTCTGCATTACATAACACCATAGGTGGAATCCTGAACCCCATCCAGAATCTTCTGAGGTGGGAAATTTCCACTAGAAAGGACAAGCAGACCAGCCTGGAGTGGCTAGAAGAACAGAAGATACTTCTTGAAAGAAGGACTGACAGGAAAAATATAAAACAATAATGACAGTCTGACTGATTACTACAAGAACAAGCAAGTTGCTCGCCCAGGAGACATCAAGGCAAGTGGTTGGGTCCCCTCAGGACAAACCCCCTTCCAAGACTAAGACTCAATGGGAATACACACTCTGATTGGTGACCATGTTCATCACCGATAAGGGGAAGTGAGAGAAAACAGTATTGAAGTAGCAAGCTAAGCCCTACCATATTCAATAGACTCCTGTGAACCTGGGTGGAGACCTGGTGTGGCAAGACCTGGGAACTCCTAGGCCCAGAGTCAGTGATGTAGCCACAGAGGACTAGAGTGGAGAGTGAAGCATCCAGCTGATAAGAAGAGAGGTCATATGTATAAAAACATCCACACTTGCAGATAATACCCACTTGACCTGGCTTCAATGATGGGATGATCAGAGCTCAACTAGAAGAAGAAAGAAGAGGAAAAAAAGAGTAATCTGATACAATTTGATGAACTTGACCTACACCTATGTATGCAGTGGCTCAAAGGAGGGAGCAGATGGTTGTAGCGAGATCATTCCCACTCCCTCCATACACAAGAGTAGACAGGGATGCGCAGCTTGGACATTGGCTACCCAAGGTGGGTGGGCTACAGAGGCAAGAAGTGACTGACTTGCATGCTTTCAGGAGGGAGCCTAGATCCAGAGGGTATGGAGGAAGGTAGTATCCAGTCTGTCTGGGCGGGGCTAATGAAAGGAGATGGGGATGGGTCCCTTGTGGTACAGTGGTGAATAATTGTTATCAGGACAGACTGCGAGGGTTGGAAATGTAAAGGTGGATGTTTTGTAGCAAAAGGAGGCGAGTGATTGACTTTGCAGTCCAGGAGTGGAGGTCCCTGGACCATCAAGAGAAAAGAGTGGAGTGCGAGACCCTACTCAAAGAAGCAGTGACGCCAGAGATGGAGGCAAAGATGATGACGTTGACATGGAGAGATGGAATAGATGGGAACTCTGGAACCAGAGAGGGAGAGGGGCTGTGTGCTGACGACCGGGTATACTTTTTTGGTTGGTTGATGATACATGGAGGGGATTATAACCATGGCAATGAAACAATATACAATAAGATGAATGTAAAGCTAATGTTCTCCCATGTAAACTATCACATAATTCACAATAAAACATTTAAAAAAAAAGTACAAAGTGGGGGTGGGGTGGGGTGGAACAGGGACAACAACACTTACAAGGTATGTTCACCATGAAGTGGTCACTCATATGAAATCAAAAGGGCAACATTTTCCTAAGGACAAAGTTGTGAAGGGACAAGAAGGTGGGTGGAATGCAAATAGGAAACACAGGGAGGAAGTGGGCTCACTGTTGTTGCAGGGAGGGGATTGTAATCATTGAG